TTATTAAAGACTTTCATCAAACATACTTCTCTAAGAAACGCCAAAAACTATTACAATCTTGAAATATCCAAGTACAAACATCTAAAGAAATGTATCTACAAGGACTAATAAATATTCCAAATTCAATGAAAAAATATCAGAAATCGCTAAGATGAATAATCCATTAATAATACCCTATGATTATAGCAAACTGAGCTAAAGGTTCATTGAATGAAACACCAAATGATCGTCTTAATGATGAGAAAGTCTCTTGTTAAGTTAATTAATGTTCGATTAGTCGCCTCTCCGTTCCGTCAGTCAAACTGTCACGGAGAATCGGACACGCGTCTCGCCGAAGATGCTGCTCGAAGACGTAGGTCCGAAGGCGACGGCACGCCGAACGATTTTCACTTCGGTTTTTCTTCGAAGTTTTTTGCGGCGGAACCGTCATCTCGACTGGCGGGGCTACTCGTATTGGTTTACACGAGTTTCTGAGTTCGGTGGTCCCGAGAATTAAATTTCATCGTTGTGTAAACACCGCCGCCGGGAGCAGACGAGAAGCATACGGGATCCCCGAAGAGACTTCCACGGGTTAATCCAATCGGGTGATACGAGTGCTCGACGTGGTCCCGTTTCTTTCGAGCGTCTTCGCACGGTAAAAATACCCGCGTCCTCGTAGATGTCCTGAAACGGTCCTGTGTGCGCTCGATTGACTCGTGATCGACGTTCGGGGTTCGATGCCCGCCATTTTGATTCGCAGCGGCTATCACGTGACGCTTTCGCAACCGAACTAGGATACTATACAGTAAAATTCTAAAACAATATACTTGAATAAAGATTAATTAATCAATTAATTCTTATTTGAAGGTACTAAATCGTCTTTACTTGTTGTTCATTAATGATAAGCAGTAATTTATGACTTCGTTGAAACCAATAATCATGGTATTACAGTATGCAATTGTCATACATATTAAATAAAATCTACCTTTTCTTGTTAAACGTTTCTTATCTGCAGTTTCTATTTAGATTCTATTATATTATTAAAATTCATTATATGCAGAAACGGAACATTGAATTAACATGTGGCGCGCATTCATGAAAACGGCGCGAGTTCGCAGCAGCCAAATATTGACGGCGAACATCACAATAAAGTGCAGACAATTTTATTCAACTCCGCGTACGATTTCAATTCGCGGCCTTGGCGCAGTAGCCTTTGAACGCCACTTAACGCAACGATTGTTTGCAGAAGCCCGAGGAGCACCGGCGTAACACCGTTCGCTTTTTCTGCGATTCGTGGACAGCATGCGTCAGAAAGAAAATCTACTTTCTTTTTGCCGGCCGATTGACGCAACACGCGTCCCCCGCGGAGGCCTCGAAATTCCGCGTTTATTGTTTCTGTCCGGCATAAAAGAGCGTATCGCGGTCCCATGGGATAGGTCATGGCGGCCGTTTATTTAGAAACGCCACGAAAATTTCTTCAACGTCCGACGATACCGGCTCGTCGACGGAACGACGTAACGAAGAACAAAAAAACGAGCGATTATATATTTCAAAGAAATTTCATTACAAGCAGAGAAATCCACGTTAATCAGATTCAAATTTCCCGCTACAAGAAGGGTCTCCAAAATGGCGCTTGAAGTTTCCCTTTTAAAATTAATTCGACTGGAGTGACAGAATGAAAATTTTAGTTTATCATACATGTAAACACTTGAAAAAATCAATTATGTTTGATTCGATATAAAATTCTTATCGATTTTATTAATAATTATGTAGATTAACCGAGCGCGATGTTATTCTTCACCTGACAGCAAAACAATATGCGATTACTATATTATTCATTGTCCTTTCCTACTGTTTGGTATTATTCTTAAATTTTCTTGGATCACCAAGATCGCAGGTCTGTTCAATAAATATGCAAATTGTCGTTATGCATATAACATTGATACGCGCTAGTGAATCGACGCTAATCCCGATTAACAGCGAACTTTGCCTCGAGGCTCGATCTCATTAAATTGAACACGGTCTACGTGTATCCGGTTTGTGTAAGTATCGCAGAAACGATCGACTTATCAGATTTTATTGAACAGTAAACGCGCGGCGATGAGTCACTCGGCCAGTGATTCTCATTTGGTCTCAAAGGTCGGCGATCAAACATGGAGAACTCAAGGAGGAAATGAGAAGAATTGCTGCACACCGTGAAAACTTCTAACAGTTTTTATTTTATGTCGAATTCACGAAAATGTTCGAGAATGAAAACGACTATGAAATGAAAGAACGTATTTACACGAGTTTCGGGAGAGTTGCGATCGTCACTGAAGGCATCAGGAAAAGGGCAAAAATGGAATACAAGAGGCGGTCTTATCAAATGGATTAGCCACTAGAGAAACGACGGTTCCGGCGAACGACGAATTTAGATAGAACGCAAGCAGAAGACAATTAAACTTTGGCCGGAAGTTCGAAAGCGTTCGCGTTGCCTCGGGCGGCGGCAGGTAGCAAGGGACCGGAATCGAGAAACATCTACAGCGACGTCGTTTCATTTAAATGAAAATTAGACGTCGCGCAGCGCATCATCGGGCTTCTCCTTTCCCTTTGCCGCGCAAGGAATGAGCAACGATCGTGGCCATTAACTGCGCCAGCCATTCGTAAATTGAAACTTTTAAACGATCGTCGTATACTATAGGATCCTCGAGCATTAAAGTCTATCCACACGAAATATTCATTCGAACTGGACTGTGTTTACATTGTGCAACATCTGTGGCACTCTAACAAAAAGCATGAAATCCTAAAATCTGTTAAATTCTGAGAAATCAATTAAAGAAATTTAAAGTGTAGACATTTTTAGTCGAATACAAAGTCTTGTTTTTTGGACATACCCGGAAAGAAACGTTTTAAAAGTACTTTACTAGAAAGCGTAATCTTGATCTAAATAATCAACATAATTCATTAGTTTCAGGAAAAACTGTTATCAATTGTTAAATTTCGGATAAAACTCATAATTAGTACTAACAGAGAATTCTTTCTTCTTTCTAATGAATGGTTACTTATTAATACAAAATTAATTAGCATATTACTAATACGAAAACTTGAGATACATCGTTATCCGATTGCGAAAGGAATTAAAGGTTAAAGGGTTAATCGCGAATAACGGAGGCATTTTTCCGGGATGGTGTGGCCGATGGTCCCGCGGAATTGGAAACGGAAAAAGTGGAACATGCCGACGATCGAAGATATTTTGAGAACCTGGATAGAAGGTTAGGATGATTCGTGAGGTGCCGAGAAACGGCAAGATGGAAGCCGCGAGGTGTCCTCTCGAGTGTTTTCGCAAGGCTGGAGTCGAACCCTTGGAAAAACAGACGCCAAATTGAATCCCTCGTCTATAAGAACGTGATGTCTCCCTCCCCTTATCTATATAACTCTACCACTCGAGCCTTTTCCGTCGGGGTTTCTCGAGTTTCTTCGTCCACGGATTACACACCTATCCGTATTCCTCGGGCGAAAAGTATTGTCGCGTTTTCTCAGCCACTTTCCGACGAATAATTCCCGTTTCTTAATTGTGTGTGCTGTCGAGCCATTATCGGGGCCATTATAGGTCGGAAACGAACAGTGAACAACAAATTGCGTTAGTAGGTATTACTATTTACTGGATTTAAAAACTAGTCTATTTATTAACGCTATAAATTGGGCTTGTTGGATTCGATATGTACAAATTAATTAAGTTTGATTATAATAAATTCATTATTTTACTAGTAAAAGGACAAACAAGGCACTAGTAGATATTATTCGTATTTAATACGAACTTAATATAAATTATAACAAGTTTATGTGATACGATTGAACAAGGTATTGAAACGCATTAGAAAGCAACACTTGAAGGTTAAGTATCCTCGGGGTGAACTAAATTTTGAAAATTTCCTAGAATATATTTAATTTAATCTGATTCCGCATTCTCCATTTGATATTGTCCAAATTTTGACACACGGTACCTATTCGCACTTAAAAATTCATAACAGCTATAAATCGACAATTAAAATTAACGAATATATCTCTTGTGTTGAGGGGCGGGCCAGTGGGGGCGGAGTCTAAATGAAAAATGAGCAATTTTTAAATAAATACTAGTTATCTCTCGTATGATGTTACACCTTTAATATTGCTCACGCCGAAATGAAAAATTCGTTGCTAATATTCATTTCTTTCGGGTGATCGCCATTCGCCAAAACTTTCGAAAATTAAGTGTTCGAACATTGCAGCCACTTAACCTATAAACCGCCATTACAATATTTCCACCGTATCAAATAAAAAAAGGGGCAAACGTCTTTACCAAGAACAACGTATATTAAACAATAATTTACCGCAAGCTGCAAACGGCAACTCTCCAAAAACACCATCGCAGAAAATAACGGACGTCACTCGATCCGTAAAAGCGAACACTTCTACCGTCAGAACGGTCCGTACCCGCGCATCGAAATTCAATCGCGTCCAGCACCACGTGGTCGTCACTTCCGTGTTCCCTGTCATCCCCGAGCCGAGCGATCGCTGTTCGAACTCTTGAGCCCCGGAGAAGCCCCGAATACGCTTGTGCCTCTAGAAAAATCCGTGGGATCGAAAGATGTCTCTTGGATAAAAGTATCCGACGGACCGCGGCGGGACACACGCGCACGTAAAAATTTCGCGAACTCTCACACCACGCGGGGCGACGCGCTCGTTGTCTCGCTTTTGTTGCGTCGGCCCTGCGGGAGCCGCGAGGGCGTGACTAGGTTAGGGTCGTCGCTCGATCGTTGGCAACGCAGGCCGCATAGGCGTCCACGCTCTCCTCGAGCCGTCCCGGCGTTCCATTGGTCGACGCTCCGTAGGTGGAGTCACATGATCCCCGGGGCGAGCGCCGCATTGGCTAGCGTTGCGACAGTCGGCAGGCCGCTACGCGCTGCCGTGATTTTTCGAAGAGAGGCGCCACGCCACGAGCCGCGCAGCCGTGCTCGGCCGACTCGGGACACTTCGGTCGCTGGCGAGGCCGAGGCCCCAGTGTGTTTTTACTCGGGGTTGAGTAAACTCCGGCCTGTTGTGTATCATAATACGCGTGCACGCGGGTTTACGGGTTAGCCTGGCATCGAACCACCGGATCGCAGCCTCGACCACGCCGTGCCTGTCTTCCACACCGGGAACTAACTTCCTTCGTCGTGGGTCGCGTCACGGAGAGACACATCTACGGAGCGTCAACAAAGCTCCGATACCCGGTCCCACCGACGGAATCGACCGCATTACCGATTATCAATCGACCGGTCTCCACGGATATACACGAGTGACCGACGGATCCTGATCTCGCGATCGATCCTCTATGGTGAAAGCTCCTGAAGCGGAGCGCCTATTGGTTGTTAAATTGTGAGAAAGTGCGAGTCGCGATTGGCCCCGTTCAGTGAGTGCACGAGTTTCGGAAAATTGAAACTCGACGGACGTAGTCGGCGGGAAATTCGAAAGCTTCGAAGAATGTCAGTCGTTGTACTCGGGAGGTATTGAGGTTTGACAGTAGTGTCTCGGGGATTGCGCGGAAAAATTGGTTGGATCTTTGTTGAAAGAATCTTCTCGATCGGTTCGAATCAGTGAAGTGTGTCGCGACGAAGATGCATACGTTGTTCGGGGAGCAGAATGCGTATTACCGTCACGCGACGGCCGTCCCCGTTGGGATGGGAACCCCCTCGTACCCAGGCGTGGGTGCCACGCCAGGATATTACGAGCAATATCGATATGGCGGGTACGCAACGGCAGCGGGCTATCCGGTCTCGGGTATTGCTCAACAGCACATCCATCACCCGGGCAAGGATATGGTGAAGCCTCCTTACTCTTACATAGCACTGATCGCCATGGCGATACAGAACGCTCCTGACAAGAAGATCACGCTGAACGGCATCTATCAGTTTATCATGGAACGGTTCCCGTATTATCGCGAGAACAAACAAGGCTGGCAGAATTCGATCAGGCACAATCTCAGTTTGAACGAGTGTTTCGTGAAGGTGCCCAGGGACGACAAGAAGCCGGGGAAAGGAAGTTATTGGTCGCTGGACCCGGACAGTTACAACATGTTCGATAACGGCTCTTATCTACGACGCCGCAGACGTTTCAAGAAGAAGGACGCGCTGAAGGAGAAAGAGGAAGCGCTGAAGAGACAGGGTCTGGTGCCCGAGAAACGAAACCAGGACGAGGCGAAGCCGAACGGTATCGTGATCCCGCCGCCGTCGGATGCCGCGTCGAAGAAGCTCGCTGCAATGGAGACGACTTTGTGCAAACCGAAACGAGAACCCGTCAACGACACCGGAAGTCACTGTATGGCCGTGCAAGCGAAGTACGGGTTGCACAGTCCGATACAGGACGCGAAAACCGCCGCGGCGACGACGACCGCCGCCGTCGCGATACCCGGTCAGAGCGTCATACAGAGTGCTCTGGGTCATCAAGTGCATCAGCCTCACCAAGTGCATCAGGACGCTATTCAGGACGTCTCGATGGGTCTCGATCCCACCAGCTTCAGTGTCGATGCCCTTATGACGACGCGAGAGAATAGCGCCGCGCTGATGACCAGGGAGAACCAGCACCACACGCACCATCCCCACGGTCTTCAACATCCTCACCCTCACTCGCACTCGATCATGACGAGCAGAGAGCCGATGGGTGCCGGGGTAGTGTCCAGGGACCATCTGGCGTCCGTGTGCACGACCACGACCACGACCACCGCCGCCGTCGCGGCGATGATGGCCACTACAGGGTACGGGCACAGTAGCACTGTGTCCAGAAGCAATGGTTCACCGCCTGGCACTATGTACGCGCCTTACTGCACGCCCACTGCCAGTTACATAATGGATCACGCGGAATACAACTCGAGAAACCATAACAACACCGCGGCACACTCGCAATGGTACCAGGACGCGGCCAGCCCTGATGCCGCTGCCATTTATCAGGACACACAGTCGCCGAGCTGTCAGCTTTATAGGTTAGGATAGAATTCAATTTTCTCAATCGGTCCGCGTTATAGTTACGTTGGAAAATTAAAAGCATTATCTTGTGGGAAAGGAAAGTTCATTTAGAAGGGAAGAGATTTCGATTTTGTAGAGGTTTAAGTTGCATGTTTGTTGCATGTTACATTTGAATTTGTATTTTGAAGTTGTTCGAGGATTTAGCTAGTATGTTGTTGTGTGATTAACGCCGTAATTACTGTTCGTTTTCAGATCCAGCCCACCCACACCTCTCTCAACGAGCGCAGCACCGTCCCCGCCCCTGTACCACAGATACTACCAAGACTGCAACACCGTCAACACCAGCGGCAATTTACCCATCACGCTGCATAAATACTGAGAATACCGAAATTCAAGGCCTCACCATCGGGGCCTTGAAGAGCACCACGGCGAACACTACGACCCGAGCCTTGTCTACGTGAAGCAGGAGTGGATACCCTCCACGGACGAGCTCGCCAAAGAGTGGAACTAGATAAGTCTTAGATTACCGATGAAACATGGCGGAAGATTAGCCGATGGTCGATGGACCGAATAAATAACTGTAGATAGTTTATTCACGTAACGGGAGTTCGTGAATTGTGTATTTAAAACCGTGTAGGCGCAGCGATGGATGTTAACAAATAGGACAAACTTAATAGCGACTTTATAGCAGACCTGGGCATATCTTACTTGAGATGCAAATTTGAGAATCGTTTGCCACGTAGGGTGGGATTCGTTTATAGAAACGATACGCTTTTGGTTAAATTTTACTTCATGGAGATTCGGTTCATAAATTTATATACAGAACGGGCATATCAAAATTGACCCTTAAGGACCGAAAAAGAACATAGCACTTATGCCATAGAAAACGAAAGGTCCCAATGCGGAGACATGCAAAGAATTTAGTTTTCATTTCATTTATTTATCATCGCTGTAGTTTTCTTTATCGAATATTGCAATCTATTACATCATTGGTTTGTTGATCATGCATTGATAAAAAATATTTACCGTAATATAACGTCTTATGGACGAGTATTACAAAAAAAAGCTCTCGGCCGTTAAGGGTTAATGTTACAAGTAACCTTTGAACAATGTCCAGGACTGCTCCGTCGATGGAAATGTTTACCGTAAAGTATTCAAGTAACTCAACGTAACTGTACTAGCTGATTTCTACTTTGATAACCGGTGTCTCGAAAGAACGAGCCCGACGATGCCGATAGTTGCGAACAAGGGACCTGGAAAAGGAACAAGCTCCCCGATCCCCGGCACGAGCACACCTACCCTCTCAGCGCTTTTGGAATCGTTATCGTGACCAACGAACACGTGTTCTCGGTCCGGGTAGAAAAAAGAACGCCCGGTACACGTGTATTTGCGCGTAGCCGAGGAACCCGTGGATTGACAAATAACCTTAAATCGGTGGTCGCCGAGCCGGGACAACAAATCTTCCTCCGTTTTTGAATCACAGAACAAGACGAGCTTGATAATTGAACGCGACTCGACAAAAGTCAGTCGTTCAAATTTTATTACAAATTTTTTTCCTCGTATGTCAGTGTCATTCGTTTCATTCGTCGGAACTTTTAAATTGATCACTAACAGGCCGTTGTGCGTTTTTATTCACCGTTAACGATGTCTTTTCGTTAGTTGTTTAGAGACTTTTATGGGGAATTTTCGAGTGAAGCTTCGATGCAAACGACAGTCGCAATTCGTAACGTTCCGTCGGGGTGTAATGGTTGTCAACTCAGCCTCGGTTCTTCGTTAATGAATCGGCGCAAAGTGAGCCAGGAAAACTAGCATGAATATCGATGATGATCATCGTCAGCTGAGCAAACAAAGCCAGCTTTACCATGACCTACCATAATTCGTCCAGTTAGGGGAAATCCCGTTTCCTCGAGGTTACGCGTCGTGATTGACGTCATAACGGTGCAACTGTCGCAAAACTGACCAACGAATAGAAAAATTCACCGTTGCGTCCTTGACGTTGCTAGCTGCGTCTACTTCCGCCGCGTGGCGAATTCCGTGACCGATAGAAACGAAATTTTCAATGAGAAATGATTTTAAACGCGCTCGCACGAATCAAGGTTTACTGACAATCAATTTTATTTGTTTTGTGTAATCAAGAAATTCGTTTTTCACGATGTTTTCTTACAATGATCTTTAAGGACTTCTTTAAATCTTGTATTCTTCAATATGGCGGAAAGTTTAACTCGTTAAATGAATACATTCTCGAACACGCATCGTTACAATTGAAAACAGCTGAAGCGGATCAACGTGGCGCAACGAAACACTACAATTATTTAAATAATAAATACATGGAGAAATATGTGACTGTGTGGAATGAAGATGAACGAAAATAAATGACTTAGTTAACGGATTGACGATGAAAGATACGTTTAACGATCCCCGGGTCTTGGGTCAAGGGTCGAAGGACAAAAATTCGTGTCGTGCTACGAAAAATCATAATGTGTGCTTTCTGCGACGAGAACAACGGAATTCGGAATTATGAAACTTATTTTCTAGCCGGTTTCGTGGGGGAGAAAATAGTGATCGTGTTCCCGAGGATTGTGAGTCTCGTCCTTGTGCATTTATTCGTGACGTCATTCCTCGCGACGTTCGACGAGAGCTGCGATAATATATATTTATTTGATATACGGATCATGTGAATAATAAAAACGATCGAGACGGAATCGTATCGTAGATAGATCTCTGCGTGTATATTATTACAAAGAGTATAAATATATATATATATATATATATATACATAAATAGATATAGATATTGTATAGATGAAGGGTATATATGTATAAATAGACAGATATATATATATATACGTATACAAAAACGTATTGGTATCACCGATTAATCAACGATATTACCTATTATCGTAGGATGAGTCGTGCGAATGCGATAACTTACGAAATAAACATAACGAATCAGACGAAACCTTGTGTCCTTTTCTTATCCCGAATTATAATTCAATGAATTCTTTTTGCCATACCATCATTTACACAACGGAGGTCAAAATTAATTCGATTATTAGCGAATATGATTTTAGAACGGAAATAAACAAATACTTTCTCTTTAACCCTTAACGGTCGTAAGTCACGGTTGTAATACGGTTGTAATACTGCTTCATAAAATAAATCGTTTCTAACGAAAATATTCTTACAGCACTGAATATTTATCACATATTTGCTGAAAACAACTGTAACTTAGTGAGAATCATATGTACAAAGCTAGCGACCGTTAAGAATTAATTTAAAAATGTGTACCTTCATTACAGATTAAATTACCTACTAAATAAAGTAAATATTTTTCCATAAAAGTTCAAAGACAATGGTTATTAAACACAGTAGTTCCGCCGATGAAAGGATTCAATCGACGAATTGCAACAAAGTTCGATACCTTTCCGTGCCACGAAACGTTTCATTGTTACACTTGTAAAACTATTATCCGGCGTAAACGGTTCCCAACGTGTTTATTGGTCTTGCGGTGAGGAGTGCTTGGAAAAAAAATATTTCGTTCGATTTCTCTTTTCTCTTTTTCCCTCTCTTTTTCCTCTCTCATTTTTGTCCGACACGCTCGACTACTTACAAAAATATATTGGCGCATTGGGAACGGGTCGCGATACGACTTTTTAATTAGTCGCGGTTGGATCGATCGCGAAAAATTGCGCTCGCCGATGCGGACCGCGCGTTGCACCGTGATCGGCTTAATAAACCGTGAAACATTTCCTGATGAAAAATTCCACCGGCGCGGAATATCGAGGGGAAAATATGCGCGAACGAAAAAAAATATTCGAAATCGAAATAACAATAATAGGGGGTGGGTTGCGAACCGATCGCAAAGCGATTTCAGTGTGTTTAGTGGAAGATAAGAGAAATAACAATTAATTTAACAATTAACTTGGTACCGTTAGTAGAAGTCTATTATTCTTCAAAATATGATATTCTAACGATGTATAACAAATTTTAGTATTTAAACATTTCACAAAACTCGATCCTTAACTTTCGAAAAATAGATGAAAATTCAAACAGAATCTAATGCCGTTATTTTTACAGCTATTAACACATTTACTGGCAGTTATTGAATAGTAAAAGATCAGAACACAGTTCTCCCTTTGTTTAGTATTTAAGAGTTCAATATACGATTAACCTTCTTCGCCTAAAGGTATCGAGCAATTAAAAGAATCCAAGATCAAGTAATACAAAGACGATTAGAAAATACAAGATTTAATAGTACAACATCCTAAATCATCGAAAATCCAGTACAGAGTATTAAATCCACAGATCAAAGCTGTTTTTTCCGTTTTATGTAACATTTTCTTCTATTTTCAAAGCTTCGCAGCTTCGGAAATGATCCAGTTGCACGGGACACCCTGTAAAATCGCCCACACCCTGCGAAATGTGTTTAAAGCAGCGTCCCGAACAGACCTCTTCGTTTCTGGGCCGCTGCGAGCATTCCGATCCCGCCACTTTCTCGATTCACGCGAACAGATATCGATCCTGATTATTTCTAGTTGCGATCTGCGAAACATTATTCCACCTCGGCCGCGGTCGCGTGGGCGGTAATGGAAAGGTAAGAATATCTTCGGTGTTTTCACGCGGTTCGAACGACATCCGGACCGCTCTGAGTAACACCGGTGGAATCCCGTATCATAACAATAACGCGCGTGAAATTGATTCACAGTAAATGTCGTCCACCGAAAACACGTAAAAACCCCGAGATTTACCGGACCCATCGGAACCCTGTCGGGGTTGCTATCTCGCGTCACGCGTCGCGGCGGGAGAGTTCGCATTCTTTCAATTCGAGTAACATCTGTCGACTTGGATTTTACTCTGAGCACTATATTCAGTGGAATTTTGTTATTTGCAATGATTGGAACTTGATTTTTGCTTCTGTTCTTCGTGTACAGTTGATAAAATACTATAGTTAAAGGTTTTAGCTTAACCCCTTGACTTACAATATCATGTCAGATTCGTGACGAAAATTTTCAATTGAATTTGGAAAACCTCAGTATTATTCATTTCTTCAAAATATAAATTAAATGTTACTTTTCTATTATCAATCGTTAACCTTTGGATTAAAAGTACACATAGAATAAACATCCAAATTTTTTCTTTTTCTAATTATTGATGATAAAGTAGCTGTATCGATTATGGTTCAGAAATAAATCATAGGGCAAGAGGTTGAACACTTTCATTCTTACATATTGGAGACGAAGGCAATAATAGAAATTACGCGCGACGCGAGTTATGAACGTTCAAGTCAGTAATAAATTAGAATATTGAAGCATTGGGAAATGTTAAGAGCACCGAAGTGATGATTAATTTATATATTTTCTAAAAAATTTCTGGAAAATGTATGAAGGAACTCGTGACAGATCAAATCTCTGTTGCAATTCTCCAGTGTATATGTCAAATTAATTAGAGGCTCGAAAATATTCATTAGTTTCCTTCCTTCGATCGCTACCGACGTATATTACTGAAATTTAAACAAAACACGAAACAAACTCGGGGGCTCAGATCTGCGGCCAGAAATTAGACGTGCAGGGGCATCAAGTATTCGAGCACAGGACGCGCGTTTACCTTCGAGAGATCCTCGACCCCGGCTTTTCCATAAACTGGAGACCCTAAGGCGAGAGGAACGGAATAGACTGACGCGTGCTCGAAGGGATTCTGCTAACTGGTCGATAGGTATATACTCTATCTTTCGGCGAACTAACGGATTGGCGGCACGGAACGTTCCAAAGCCCGGCTTTATCCGAAGCACGTGTTTCGGCAGATGCGGCTAAATCCCGCCTCGAGCGAAAACCACCGACGGCCTGGCCAGAAACTTTGCTCGACCCTCAACTATCCGTGCCGGTCGTTTTTTTTTTAAACAATTATTCCATTTCACCGCTCAGAATCCAAATAAGTTACGTGTCCTTCGTAGTTAACACTTTACCTGGGAGAAGCCTGTTAAGAAGTTTCTCAATTACGATTTACGAAAGAGGTTAATTATATTTATTTAAATAACAATTGCTAAAAAAGCAATTAAAATTTATGTTTGCAATTGGCATTGATACCGACAAATTGATTAGGTAAGTAATTCTTATTCGTTGCCCAAAATATCGAAAAACCGATCAACCCTTTTCGAACATTCAAAACATCATTGCTGAAACACTCGAACCCTCCTTTATACAATTACTATCGTCAAACTTTTCGCTGGAGTTTAATCACTTCAGCAAATGAATAGGCGAAAAAGCATTCGATCGAATCACACGGGGGTTTATTAATTGGCCGTGGCAGCCACTCTATCAGACGCGGGATTAAATTAGCGATCGACGGGCAAAAGTGACGGGCGTCAGAAGTGGTATTTGCGCGGAATGTAAACTCTCTCTCGGGATGGCGGGCCGCGCACGGCATTAGCCTCTAAACCGTGCAAACACACGCGGCGGCGCCGGTTTGCGGGGCAATTTTAGAGCACCGGCTGAACGGAGGGTGGCGAAAGTCATCCACGCCGCCCCTGTGCGCCGCGATTCTCCTATCTCCACGGCAAACACTTAAAAATTACCCACCCCCGCGGCGCGCAAATACGACCGTGAAGGATGCGCGAGCCCCTCCGACCGAAATGGCCGGTCGTGTGTCGGGGAAACCCCGCGCGTCTTCCCGTGAAACTCGATCCACTCCCGATCTTTCACGTTGGATGCTTTCTCGGTGATCCGATGGACCGCGAAACGAATCGGGGAACGTTAAACGTTGCCAGGGTTAGAATTGGCTGTGAGAATTTATTTAATGTATCTTAACCAGTTAACTATGTTTGACGAGTATACACGTCATCGTAAAGCTTGACATGATACTAATTCTTTCAGCGATTAATTCTTTATTTTTTCACATTAATATGTAATTCTTCTTTGTTTCGCTTTGATCTTTCATTAAAATATACTCTACGTGCATTCATCCTGCGTTCGACGAGTACACGGTCCATTTGTCAATTTTATTGCGCGCAGAACGAGAGGTTTTTCCAACTAAATTCCACAGTTAACTGGTTAATTCGTTGTGGATGAATATCGTAGTAATGGCGACTTTGAGGTTTAGCATACACAGTGGCGGACATGTACTTAAGAACATTCTCTACGGATGCGTTTCTATTGTTGTTAATAATATTCAGGAAGAGAATAAATTAATTTCCATTGTGATTTTTTGATGGTGTATAAGCGTATTTAAAAATGCAAAGTAATTCTGATGTATGCACTGTTGAAATGTCTATGTAGATGAAACAACGAGAACTATTATTTGAAACAAGTGAAAAGTAAAGGTCTTTTACAATCTATAATATAAAGATCGAGTAATATACAACAGAATAGTAAATATCTTAAACATATAAGAAACATCATGATGAATAATGACAATATCATTTTAGTTTCTTTCTTTTGTATTGTTTAAGACTTTAGAAGAGTTAAAACATAGGAATTGGGAAGATAATTTTGTTTGGATAAAAGTGTAGCTGGTATTGAAGAAATAGTGAATTGAGGTAGAACGTAGAAATAGAAATATTATTTAATTAATATTCGGAGGTGGATTTTTATTTTCTACAGATTTTAGAGAAGCTTTAAGAATCACTGTTTTCATTAATGCATTCCTCGTGGTTGGTTCCCCGTCATCAAGTTTATTCCTATCTCTAAACTGTGGCCACTTTCGCGGCGTTTTGTCGCGCCGAGGAGACAGCTGGCAAGTTTAAAAAACCTCGCTTTGAAAAGAAGAATCTTCGCAGTAAAAACCGTTGGAAAGTTTGATGACATCGCGGCTAGGTTCCCACGTGTGGAGTAAACATCGTCGATGAGAGAAGGAACCGTGTCTAAATGACGATCGTTTCGATGAAAGTCGCACGTTGTAGCGTGAATTATTCTCATATATTAATAATGATAAAAAGGAAAATATTGCAAACATCTTCTTCGTACTAAAAAACTGTATGAATAATGCATTTCTTTCAAGAGGCTATTAGAAGAATAGGGGCTTTAATGAGAACATAAAATAGATCACAGAAGAAATACCGAAAAAATTCACAAGAAATTCTTATTGACTGCAATGACCAATGTTAGCAAAGATAT